GAGACAGCTGGTGCAAAACCCAAGAGGCCATACAGGAGGACTGTGGAGGCAAACACCTGCAAGAAATGTGGCCAGGTCTGAACAGCAGAGACTGGACATGGTCAGTTCAGGGGGAGGGTGTACAGTCACTAAACAGCAGTGGCTGGAGGATATGAGCAAGAGGTTCCCAAAATAAAGACACTAAATATTTGTACATAGTTAGACATTTTTATATTATTCAAGTTCTTAAAGTTTATATCTATGTTGTGTGTTCAGTCTAAACATACATTTTGTACAATTGGCTGCCTATATTAAGCTATTACATGATAATACTTATTAAGTTAATGTTTATTTACAATCAGACAGTTCCGCATTTCGTTCATCTTGAAGTGAACACATGTATTTTTTTCATTTTTTTCCCCCCATATTTGCTATTCCAAGAATGTTCTCTTCTTTCCTTTAGGCTTTGAAAGCTATGGTGGAGGACAAATATAGGGAATCCAAGCAGAAAGCCAAAGCCTTGGTGTTGAAGGCTTCAGCGGTTAGCTTAACATCAGATATGTGGACCTCTAAAAACACCGATGCACATCTCGCTGTGACATGCCATTTTATAGATGCAAGCACCTCTTTACAGTCTGTTGTTTTAGGGGTGCTGTATTTCCCTGAGGCACATACTGCTGAGAATTTGGCACAAGTAAAAGCAGCACTTATGTCACAGTGGGGTATCACAAACAAAGTTACTTTCCTTGTGACTGATGGTGCAGGAAACATGGGGGCTTGTGCCAAGGAGCTTCATTTGCGTCAAATTGTGTGGTGCATACTTTGAATTTACTTGTAAAAAAGGCAGATGACCAAAGCCGTGTGCTGTCTGTCATCTGGGCAAACTCAAGGAAGATAGTGGGCCATTTAAAGAGCAGCACCACTGCAAAGCTGAAGTTCCTCATTTCATTGCAATTTCCTAAATGACACCGTTTTGTGCTGCTGCAGTGACACTTGCATTGATCACTTTTTGATTGCTAATTTCTCTAGGAGAGGCTGACACAGGTGCAGGAGCAAATGGGGCAGCCAGCACTGAAGCTGGTTCAGGAAGTGGACTCACGTTGAAACAGCACATACCAAATGCTCCAACGAGTTTATGAGCTCGGGGAACCTGGAGGAGCAGCTTTGGCAGGTCTTCACACTGATGTTGCCCCACTGTCATCAGAACAGTACAGTATTATTGCAGAATCCCTAAAAGTGCTGTCCCCATTCAATGATGCCACGGTGAAGCTGTCAGAGGAGAGAAGGGTATCTGGATCAAAAGTAATCCCCCTTCTGTCAATGCTACACCACGCACTGGAGGAGGAAATGAGAACCCTCCAAACTCCAGAGAGCAAAATGATGTCTGAGAGTCTGAAGAGACAATTACAGGAGAAGCTGTTCACGCTGCAATCCATGAGCATAATGTCACTGGCGACACTGCAAGATCCCAGATTAAAAAAGATAGGCTTCTTTAGCACAAATAAAGCAGCACAGGCCGAGAAGAGACTCACAGCTGAATGTGCTGCCATTATTCGAAACAACCCGTCCTCCCCCTCGTCCTCACAACCACACACACCAGAAGCTTCTCAGCCTGTGACTCAAGGTAATAGATACTGCCTATATTCTTATTGTTGTGTAATAATTATTAATTATTGTATTTAGTCTGTTATAGCCTGTCTGTCTGTGTTGGGAAGCTAACTGTGGCATCGTTTGGGCCCACAGTCCTGCAGACCAGGGCTCAAAATGTCACTGCAGATGCAACGGTGGAGGTCCAGAAGGACTTGGGGGAACCAAACATCTCCAGAGTGGAGAACCTCCTGGAATATTGGGAAATAGAGAATAAAAGTATATCCCAACTTATCCAAACTTGCTAATACTTTTCTCTGTATCCCTGCTTCATCTGTGCCTTGTGAAAGGGTATTTTCTAAAGCAGGTGAAATAATCTCAAATAAACTAAACCGTCTGAAGCCCAGTACTGTGGAGAAATTATTGTTTTTAAATTAAAATGAATGCTGATTGTGTCAGCACATTAAAAAAAACAAGCACATTCACATAAAAACGCTCTCATTTTGACACCGTCAGTGTATCATAATGACACACACCAAATATAAGTTGATCATTTATGCATAAGCATCACAAACAGATTGATTCAGTGCTTTAGACACCAAATCCAGAGTCTCACTATAATCACACTGCACGTTTTACATTTATTGTCCACTTGATGGCACAATAGAGCAAATGAAGCTCTGACAGCTGAGTGAACCAATTGGATGGAACGCTTCAGTGCTTGCATCACCAGGAATGGGGCATTAACATCCCAGAACAAAGTACCACAAAAAATACAGAGTAGCTCACCAGGGACATGGAAACAAGACACAGACTCAGTGTCTAACAAACTAAACCCAGAGCTTAGATACAGACCAATTGCACAAATAGAAAACAGATGGCAGAGGAGGGAGCCACAACGAGAGGGCGGAGCCAGACCACATGACAGACAAGTGTCCAATAGCATTCCCCAGTGGTCAGAATAGCCATAGCCCTGGGTGGACACGAGTCACTCAAAGAGGCAGTTTCTTTTACTGTGTTCAAAACCTTTATTTTAAACAAGTGCACTTTGAAACTTGCCCCAATTGACTCCTTAACCCATCTATCACCGACATCAACTTTATAATAATCAACCAACTTAAGCAACTGATACCTTGAAGACTCGTCCAAAAGCTGCTCAGATGGACTCTCCAAAAACGCTTCGACAATATCATCCATAACCACACGCTTGAGAGATGGAAACAGGGAGGAAAAAAAAAAAAAGGTTTAGACCCACCTGTGTGCTTTACGACCACAGATTGGAGATTTTCCGCTAGCTAACTGCCTCACCAAAGTCTAACTAGGATAACTCCCCCCTAGTCTTCATGAGGCGTAGTGGCGGGTATTTATGCACCTGGAGCCCGCTGGCCCCAAAGTAGCAACCGGGGAACTGGCCACCACCCCGAAACCACGGGCAGTGCTCCCGAGCCAGATTAAGGAAAAAGGGAGAGGGATGCTCTGAACCACTGTACCCCAACACTAACAAACCCCCACCGACGAGTCCCAAAGGAGAGACGTTAATCCTACCAGGAAAACCTCCAAGAAAACAATACACACATTTAAACCAAGACTCACCTCTCTCCACTCCGGCAAAGACCCCTTAAGCCTGAATGAAAACAACCTCAAAACAAAACACCTGTGCACTCGGGCTCCACACCTCCTCAACCAACCTCCCTCAATCACTGCCACACGCTACCAATTACTCAAACTCAGATGCCAAATTCCATCCGAGACAAAGGCGGTACCAGTGACAAACTAAAGTGGATTAGCCCATCAAAAAGGCACTCTAACCTACAACAATCGGACGAGCACCCAATTTGTTACGACCATCTGCAGGCCCAAACAAAGGAGGAGGTGCAGCACAAGTTTGTGGTCAGCCAAATAAATAATGATTAATATAAATAACAAAAAAGACGATGTCAGCATAGAGTGGACCAGGGCAGAGCCAGCCAGTGGGCATCTGGAAAGGCGGCTTAAATAGGCCTGACTGGGAACGCTGGCCAGGTGCTCCCAGTCAACTTAATAAACTGGCTGCTTCTTTCCTGCAATAAAAACAAGACAAACACAGTATCCTGCCCCACACAGGGCTAAAGCCTGGAGCCCTCACACCTTCCTCATACTCTACTGTTTAGCTAGATGTGAAACTTCATTTAACTTGGATTCATGTGTGTTTGAGCTTCTAATTTGTTCATCTTACATCTGTTTTTTCAGCCAATGTTTCCCCTTTTCCTATCAATTAGAACCTTTTGGTATCTTAATGAAAATTTCAAGGCTTTTTACTCATTTTTTTCTTCTTCTAATCCTTTTGCCATTTTTATTCCTCTCTTCAGGTTATCTTTAAAGTATCCTTCAGCCATTGTTCGTTTACTTTCCACTGACTTTTTGCCACATTTTAGTATTCTCTTGTGCTGATTGTTTCTATCTTTTAGTCTTTTTCTGCTTTTCTTTGGCATCTTCTGGTGCCTCCCTTCAGCTTTAGCCGTTCTCACAGCTGATTTGCAGAAACAGCCCTTTTTAGTTATTCTTTACTATAACACAGTGGTTCTTAGCCTTTTTGAGGTGCCAAACCCACCAGTTTCATATGCGCGTTACACTGAACCATAGTGATGAATAAAACATTTCTTTTCCAGATATATCGGTATATGTTTTTTTACTGGTGCACAAAATGACCCGTACATGAACATCACCTTGCTCAAAGAACAAAAGCAACTCAGTGCATGAACTCACAACAAATAACGATAATACTTTTTTCTGCCCCCCCCCCCCCAAAAAAAAAAATAAGATGGCCCAATAAAAGGATTTTAGACCCCTAATTTTTTTTTTTACTATTTTACTAATTAAAACTAAATTAAGATTTTTAAAAAGAACTTAACATTCTTTAAATGCATTTCTTTTTATTCAATATGTTTAATATATATGAGTACTGACGACCACAGCCTCTGGCTCAGCTTTGTTGTGTGGAATTAAGAGGCTGCAGTTAAGAGGCCTGATGTTGTCCAGATATGAATGTTTTCATAAACTAATGTCCTGTTGTTGTGAGCTGCAGCCCAGCGGGCCACAGTCTGACTGAGCTCGTTAGCCTGAAATGAGGAACACCTGTCTCCACTTGAGCCCATTTGAGTTCATAGAAGTTTCATTAAAAAAAAATACTGCCAAAACCCCATTCATTTAAAAGCCTCAGAAGGTGGACTCTTTACATCCACCTCAAGTGAACGTTAATGAGTTTAAAATCAAAATCTGTCTCACTCTCAGCGGTTATTCCTCAATCTACACTCAGGAAAAAGTGGATTTGTCTAAGTAAAAGTGAACATCAAACACTTTGATGATGATTAGGTCAACACATACACACACCATTTGTTACCACATTCCAATGTCAGCTACATAAATGAGGACCTGGCCTCTTCATGACCCGAGGTAACTAGCCAATAGGACTTGGTTGTGTCCAGTCCTCCTTTGAAGAGGCGGACAGAGCCCAGGAGATAATGCCCATCACACCCAGATCTCAGGGCTCTTTGCCCACTGACACCCAGAGAGAGGGTTTTTTTTTTTTTTTTTTAATGCTTTGCAAAACCATACATTTATTTTAGACCATAATACTTTCAGGTTCAACTAAATGTGCTACTAAATATTCTGATCAACATTTGAATTTTGATCCCAACATTTCACTAATCTGATCATGGATTCAAACCTAACATCACTGATACTCAGAATCAACTTAGCAAACATATTACAGAGGTGGAATGGTAGTCACAAATATCAAAGCAAACATGTGAGGGAATGATTTCAGCATTCCGTAGGAGCCCTGTTTCATAATACCCACTTACTTGATTGCCTCACACATGTCAAGTCCCATTTTTACACAGTTTTTGGCATGGTTTGGCAATGACTCTGGCAGCCCGGAAACACAGTAGTAACAGTCACCCAAGATTTTGATTTGCATACATTCATTTTCCTGCATACAAAAAAAGGAGAAAAAAAGGAAAACCATGGCATTGTCACGAAGGTGCCCTGGTGGAGGGGTTTTTTGTATCGTCTTTTTCTAGTCTCGTCATTTCCTGTTTTACTTTGAAGAATAACCCTCATCTCGTTTCAGGTCACTTGCACTTCCTGTTGTGTCACCAGTCTGAGCGTCTCCCTGATCACCTATTGTCTGCACCTGGGCATCCCTTCCCTCTCGTGTTCAAATAGTCCTCGTCTCCCCTTGTCCCGTGCCAGTGTGTTTCGTTCCCAACCACAGAGCCTGTCTTGTCCCTAGCCCTCGTCACAGTCATAGCCCTTGTTCCTTGCCTTCTGAACCCCTTAGTTTTTGCCTCTGCCACGAGTGCGTTTATTGTTTCCTCCTAGACGTAACATTCCTAGTGAGTATTTTTGTTGTTACTTTTGTTCCTGTTCTGCCTCCTTGTGAGAGATTTACTTTGCTACTTTTCCGCTTTGTGTTGTAACTTTATCAGCCTCGGTTCGAGAGCCCTTTCTGTTTATACTTTGTCCTCCGTTGCCGGAGCGCTTTATGTTTGTTTTTGTCCACTCTTTCGAGTGCGCCTTTTGTTAATACATTTTTGGAATTCTGAACCACTCTGCGCCTGAGTCCTCCTGCGTCCACGCTCGTGTCAATCTATCATTTGATCATATTTTTTATTGATCAATTCTACATCAATTTAATATTTTAATAAACTAATGACCATAAGTACATTTATTTATATTTTATATAGTTACTATAATTGCATCAGGATCGCTCAGATATGCATTTCTGTACTTTATATTTTTTATTAATCTAACCACATTTTAACTAATTAAGCATAGATAAATTATTTTTTGTTTTAATATCCCTTCTACAAACCCCTCCTAGAAAAACTTTTTATTTTTATTTATTTATTTAATTAATTATTTATTCATTTAAGAATCTTAATGTATCAATTAAATTATTTTTTTTCTCATTAAGTTGACTAAGGCTGCTCTACTGCCGTCATCTTTGAAACCTCCTGTCGAGTCCTCCTTTCCAGAGTCCCACATTTACATCATGTCAGGGAGCTGGGGTTTAGGGAGGACTCAGGCGCAGAGAGGTGGTTAGATCCAAAAAGGTTTATTGAACAAAAATCGCACTCAACGAGTGGAGACAAAGTACCAAAATAATAAACAAGACTATGAACAAAGTATCAAAATAGAATCACTCTAATGAGGAAGACAAAGCTGTGAACAAAGTATCAAAACAATAAACAAGGCTATGGGCAAGGTACAAAGTAACAAAGAAATACTCACTAGGAATGATCATCTAGGAGGAAAACAAAAAAGCACTCAATAGAGGCAAAAACGCAGGAGGCAAGGTTTAACTATGGCAAGGAATAACTGTGGTCGAGAGGCACTGTGGTCATGAAAAGCAATACACCGGCACGGGACAAGGGAGACGAGGACTATTTAAACACATGAGGGAAGGGATCCCCAGGTGCAGACAATAGGTAATCAAGGAGACAGACTGGGAACACAACAGGAAGTGCAAGTGACCTGAAACAAGGGGATGCATCTTTCAAAATAAAACAGGAAATGACAAGACAACATGGAGACAAGACCAAAAACACCAACATTTCCCCCAGGTGTGACACATCACCTATTAATATTTTATTATAATTATTAAATGTATCTATACTTTTGAATGGTTTCTTTCTTTAAAAATATTGGGTGCATAAACATTTATTATTCTAATAACTACATGTTTATATTTATATCTACAATTAGTATCTTCCTAAATTGTCTTTTATTTATTATTGTAGTATAATTGTCCATTCCATAGTTTGTTTATTTCATTTATTAATTTATTGTCCCAAATAGTTTCTTGCAAACATATTTGACCATCATTTACATTGTAAAAAAAGTTCCACAGCTTCCCTTTACTCCTCATTCCTGCCACATACAGTATAAGGAAATAAGAGTGACCATAGGGAGGAAGAAAATGGGGAGTCTCCCCGTTCAGTTTTCCATGAACTTATTGTTCACAGCTTCATTACTTAAAGTGATTTCAAATGATCTGGGCCTTAATGGTCTACACCCAACAATACCTCCACACAAGAGTGGGATTGTTTTCATTAACTGAACCACTGATATCTTCTCCTCTCCTTCCTTCTCCTTCCAATAACCATAGTTAAGTATTTATCATATTTAATGTATTTTACTGTAATTTAGCTTTTTACCACTGTGTCTGTTGTTCCCGTCTCGTTTTGCCGGTCCATGTTCAAATCCCTGCTATCCATCCAAGCACCTCCCCACAGGCTAAGCTGATGAGGAGGGATGACACACCAAAAAAACAAAACAATTTGCTTATATTTATAAAAGAAAAAAAAAAAAAACATTAAGCAGAGATCAGCTAAAGCTCCTCACTCTATTGCTGTGACAGCTGCAGCAATCAAATGATGCATTCAGGGTATTTCTGAAATCAGACTTACACTGGCTGGTGGCTGTAAGCTGCAGGGTACCTGTCACACGGGCTATTTAGACCTGAGCAACACAGCCAAAGTCAGCCGCTGGCTCCAAAATAAAACGCGGGACCCTAAGCAGTGGACTGGTCATAACTTGGCTTTTCTGAATAAGGCAGTAATAATCCACAGCAAATAAGGGGAGCCGCAAAGTACAATTTCACAGTAACAAACTGGGGTGTCAATATGTCAGAGTAAATCTATTTTAACCTAGATAGAGGATTTTCAACTGTAATAGACTCTATACAGTTGAAAATTATAGATCATTATAGAGAGTAACCCCACTCGAAGAGCAGAGTTAAAGTCAGTGTCAAATCCCGCAGACATGCAGTGGAACCTGAACTCTACACAGTGACGACCACGCGCCAGTTGTCAGGTCTTTAGCACCGGAGGCACGTGAGGGTAGTCTGGAGCGGGTTGAACTGGAGTCGGGCCTGGCTCGGGTAAGTCATATTATGAACATGCTGGTATTCCTAACACTGCTTAATAATTGTTTTCCATCTTAACACGGGTATCGGTTCGTGTATGTTGATTGGGGAAATGTTGCCCATTCTTCTGTGGAGTGGCTCTCATGTCCCAAACGGCTAACGTTAGCAACCTGCTAGCAGTTCAGAAGTTCTACATTTCTTTTCGACTTAAGCTGAACCATTAAATGCTTGTCTTTTTTCTTAATGCTGGTACACGCATAAATACAGGCTGCCTGTCTTATGGTTATGTTGTAAGTTATTTAATTGTAACTTATGCTAATCGTTAACCGTAAATTACCTTGAAGCTAAGAAGTAAACCCAACCGCAGTCGGTCAGTTAGCCATTTTCTGAAGTTGCCACGGTGTTGCCTTAAATATTACACAAAGACAAATAATGTTGACATGCCAGTTAGCCTCTTGTTGCTAGCTTTCACTAAGGAATAAAGCTGTAAAGTTGTTTGTGAGGTTTTGTTCACACTGTGGCAGTTTAGCAAATGGCATAGTATAAATCCAGTCTTTTTCTTCCATCCTACAGAATGTAGCATTCAATTAATAGATGTCTATAAATACATATCTAAATATACATTTAGATATATATATTTATATAATGTATTTGTAATATTGTGATTTGTTTATTATAACTAAACTATGTCCAATTTGCCTTGTTAACAGTAATGTAGCAGATGTGAGTGTAAAGCATGGACCGTAGTTGGTAAGTGGGCTCAATTGAACAATTTAAGCATTAATAGGTAACTCATTGCTCAACTTTTGTCTCTGTCTTTCTTTTACCTTTGTTTATTTCAGTAGAATATGCTGTGTCATTTGGTAGGGAGCTGAAGTATGTCAGGCTGTCTGACCTAACATTAGGTGCCTTCATGGAAGAAGGTTGGAGAGTACATTCAGCATAACACAATATCGCAACCTTTTACCTGGTTAATTCCACCTAATTCACTGTAAAACATAACCCCTGAGTTGATAACTGTTTCTGCTGTGCATTTTAAATGCATGGGAATAACCTACAAACTTAAGGTTCAACTTGATAGCATTTTGTGAAGACATCAGTCTACTTGGTTACGATTTGATTCTCATCTGAACTAAATGGTCTTGTTGCTCTAACATCACTTTCCCTTTCCTTCCTTTACTTCAGCGTGCCAAAAATGTAACATTCAGAAGGTAAGCAGCCAGATATGAAGGTATTTGACCGATCTGACACAGAAGTTGATAGAGAGGTCTTTGAAGAAATATTGAAGGAGTCATGTGGAACCTTTCAATGTTGAGCAATAAAAAACTTTGGTAATCACTCACCATTCTCAGATGTGTTCATATCAAACTTACAGGTTGGGATTTAACATTCTTCAGTTTTTCTCATATTCCTTAATGCATGGATGCTTATCTGTCGTCAGCAGTATCTAATGATAGATACTATCATTGTAAGATTCACCATGTGGGATCCACCTCAAGAAGCGGCCCCTACAGAAGGAAGTCCCCGTAAAAGGCCACAGAAGAGATGATGCAAAGAGGTTAGTAGTCACTGTTAAACTGAATCTGGATTTTGTTCGATTTAATGATTGTGCTAGTTTAACATGCATGTAGCATAAATATTTAATATTTTCTGGATCTTCTTCCCCACTGTCTCTTTATTTTTAATTTAATCGTACTTTTGTGGCTCCCCTTTGCTGCAGATTATAATTGCCTTATTCAGAAAAGCCAA